TCACCTTCTGGAATGCCAATTATCCGGATATTTGGACGTTTGATGGTATCCAGTACTTCTCGCATATTGTTTCAAATTTTTGGGCCATTTTCTCAGTCTTCATGGTGGATTTTTCTAGGCCAGCCATTTTCTCTTCTACATCTGAGATTCTGTTTTCTGAATGATCTAGTCTGCTTTTAATACTTTCAAGGGAGATTTTGACTTCTTGTATTAGAGACTTCATCTCTAGCAGTTCCATTTGAGTCTTTTGTAAAGTGCGTAACAACTTCTTTCTCCTTTCTCTTTAGCAGTTCATTATCTCTCTTTTCTTCTATCTCTGTTAGCTTCGACATTATGAATGCTCTAAATTCCTTATCAGACATTTCCATGATTTTCACCAAACTGCTTATGGATGAAAAAGAGTTACTCTTTTCCCTTGGAGAAGAGGTATTTTCTTGTTTTCCCATATTTCTTGTGATCCGGAGGTGATTTCTTGTCATCTGATGGGTGGCGTGTTTCTTTCAAATTCTTCAAGTTCAGTCTCAATGTTCAGGAGCAAGCAGACAGAGGTGATCTAGAATCTCTTTGCCGTTCTGTTATGATCGCTGGTGCTGCAGATTCAGTAGATATTGAGGAATATTTTAACCCTATTAGTATTTGGATGTTTAGCTACAGTGCTCTTAGATCCATCTAGTTTGCAGGAGCCATGTGGAATCTTCTTCTCACGTGTTCTTTTTTTAAAAAAGAAAAAATCAGAGAGCCAGCTCTATAGCACAGCAGTAATATACTGATCAAGGGAAGCCAGATTCCACAGGGCAACCACGGTTCAAATCTCCATCCCAAGGGTCAGCCCTGTGGCCTACTGGTTAAGAAAAGCCTGGTTCCACATGACTTTTTGAATCCTGGCTCTAGTTGCTCGAAAACATGTTGGGTACGTGCATACCCCAAATGCTGACAGGACGAGTGGAAGGGATTGCAGCATGACCACACCCTATTAGGGGTTGCTTTCTCTCTCTCTCTCTTTCTGGCAAGCACATGCCCTCTGTTCATTACAAAATAAAAAAATCCCTAGCCTAAGTCAGCCTGAAACACAACAGGTATGTGCACAGGTGCCCAGGATCTGTTGTGCTAGAGGACTGGAGGAGAACGTGGTTGCAGCAGCAGCAAACCCTATGGAGACTGTACACCTCTCTCTCTCTCTTACTTGCATGTGCTGTATCATGAGTAAAGAAAAAGAATTTTTAAAAATGTATTCATTCATTTATTTTAATTTGACCAGAGAGAGAGAGAGGGAAAGTGAGAAAGCAAGCAACCAGGCCCATGACCTGAACCATGGTCACCAATGTGGGAGTGTCCAGTGCCTTAACCACTACAGCACCTGCTGGCCCCAAGAAAAAAAATTATTAAAAAGAGAGATTTTTGCTATAGGGTGTGTGCATTCTCTGGAGAGACAGAGACAGAGAGACAGAAAGTGAGAAATCACTCTCCCAGGGGATAGCCACACCACAATCCCTTCTCTTCCATTCTCCTTTCAGGCTCTTGGACGTGCTCGCACATGTGCCTCGCACAAGTTTTTAAGTCACTGGGTCCAGGATTTGAACCATGGTGGACTTCATGGGAGTCCAGTGATGTAACTGCCACTCCATCTGCTGGTCTTGAAAAGAAATTTTTAAATCACAGAATCTTGGGCCAACCAGTGATGTGGTGGTTGAGGCAACTGGATCCCATGTGGCCAACTACACAAGTTCACGCCCTAGACCTGGCAGCTTGAAAAAGCAAGCCCAGTGCATGTGCATGCATGCCAAATTCCTGATAGGAGAAATGGAGAAGAGATTGTGGCATGAGCATCACCATGGGAAATGGTTGGACACTTTTCCTCTTTCTCTCTGTCTCTTTCCAGCAAGCATATGTGCCCTCTAGCAAATTAAAAAAAAAAAAAAAAAGAAAAGAAAATTGAAAGATAATACAATAGTGATGACTTATTTTATTGTTGCATCATACTCTTAAGTGATTTCATCATTCTTCCTTTTTCTTATTATTTTATTTGGTTTTTTGGAGATATTTTTGCTATAGGGTGCGTGTACTCACCAGAGAGACAGAAAGCAAGAAATCACCCCCTAGGGGGCTAGCCACACCACAATCCCTTCTCCTCCATTCTCCTCTTGGGGTTTTGGGCACACATGCCTGGTGTCAATTTTAAGCCCTTGGGTCCAGGACTCGAACCGCAGTCGACTACGCAGGAGTCCAGCAATGTAACCATCTGCTGGTCCGCAGTTTGCCCTTCCTGTGTCAAACTTCACCTTATCTGTTCAGCATGGACAAAGAGAGTAGATTAACTTCTTTTGACTGAGGAAGGTGCTTCCTCCTCCTGTTCCTTTTGTTTGCAGGACACCTGCTTTATCTCAGGTGTCTCTCCTCGAAGCCTCTTTTCTCTGTCAAAGCCCTGGAGCTGTTAGCTGTTGAAGTGAAGCACATCCCTGCTGAGCACAGGGCACTGCCAGCATCCCAGTTGGGGAGACTTTCTAAGAGGTGTGTATGCCAAGCACGGTATCATTGTGTGCAGGCATCTCAGGAGTCTGCCAAACCCAGGGCTGGCTGCCAGTACAAATGCCACGTTGGCTTGACATTTATGAGTCTAGCATTTGGGAAAGGATTGCCAGCAGAACACCTCTTGGCTACCTCATTTCAGATGGCAATAACCAGGCTGACTTCTGATTCTCAGAGTCAGAACTCACAGTCAGGAAGTAATACTTTAATTTGAAACCCTTACTATTACTTTTTCTAGGAAATTATCCCTCTCCTTGACCTGGCATGCAGGATAAATGATAGTAGTTAGGAGTGGAGACTCTGGAATCAAACCTGAATTTGAAGGAGGGCTCTGTCATTTATAGATGGCAAACTGAGGCAAGTTTAAGCCTCAGTTTGCCATCTATAAAATGGTAATAATTAGACATTCATCATAGGATAACTATATGGATTAAATAATATAATTAAAAGCATCAGTACTTTTCACATTCTTAAGAAGTCAGGTATTAAGTTCTTATATTTCAGTAATAAGTAGATGTAATTTGCCAGGGACATGTTCTCACAACGTGGATTTATGTGTACACTCTCTTCATGACTTAGACTTTACTGTAACATTCTGCTTGGGCACCCAGAACACAAGTTTTCTGTACCTCTCTAGGAAGATTTAGAGCTGGAGTCAAAGAGTGTCTGGCACCTTTACAGTTTCTTCAATGCAGAAACCATTTGTATATTAGGAGTTTATTTCAGTAAGAGCAGCTCTTTGACTAACCTGGAACTTGGAACTTTTTCTATGGCACATTCTAATGCAAAATGAAGACCAAAAAATATTCTAAAGGATACAGAGTGGCTGATTAGGGAAACTTTTGGTATGGGTAACAAGGTACTTGGTCTTTTTTTTTTTTGGAGAGGTTTTTGCTATAGGGTGCATGCGCTCGCCAGACAGACAGAGAGAGACACAGAGACAGAAAGCGAGAAATCACCCCCCAGAGGGGATGGCCACACCGCAATCCCTTCTCCATTCTCCTCTCAGGATCTTGGGCACGCATGCACACGTGCCCGGCGTGAGTTTAAGACACCGGATCCGTGACGCGACGTAACTACATGGTAGTCCTGCGACATAGCCATTACGCTAACTGCTGATCCCAGTACTTGGTCTTGATTAAGTCTTCCGTCATGATCTAATACCTAAAAAAGAAAAAAAAATGGCTCTCTGTTCTATGTGATGAAATGTAATCCTCCCCACAGTGCTTAGTGTATTTCCTTTAATCACTTTCTGTATCACTAGTAAATTCTCCCAAATTATTACATTCTTTTATCCCCTTGTTTTTCAGATCTTCAAAGCTGCTACGGGCATTCTATGTCCCCTTTCTGTCAGATCAGTATACAGTGTATGCCAACTACACCATCCTTAAACCCCGGAAAGCAAAGCATATCAGGAAGAAAAGCGGAGGTTAGCAACACACCTGTGGCCCCAAAGGAAACCATCTTGTTAAGTAATGATTCTGTCGACCTGCCTCCCTGCACTGCACATCATCGCTATAACCTTTGTAATAAAGCTTTTCCAACACGAATACTGGAATCTGGTGCTTTGGGCTCGTCAGAGTCTCTCGAAGTCTGTTGAAAGTCACGTTCACTTTTTGCCTATGTCTCTGTTCTGCATGTAAACTTTTTGCAACTAGACAGAGAAAGGCCCCAAAGCACAGGTAGGTACTGCACCATGTCTCATTGTTTTTCTTCTGTTCAATTATTCACTAGACCGGAGAAGAGCTGAAGCAGCTTACAGGAAGAACTGAAAATCCCTGGACTGGATGCTGTGTTAAACTGTTCTCCACACTCTGGCCTGGCATTTGAGAACTAGTGAACCTCTCTTAGGCCGTATGGGCTTCACCAAAGCTGTTAGGCAGCTTCTAGCAGACCTTCTTGTTCAAATCCTACTGCTGAAAATGAGCACAGTCTAGTTGCCAACCCACATGTCCTTTTCACCTTCAGCAAGATAAACTTCTATAAAGCACTTCACAGGACTAGGACCCTGTCCTGGAGCTATCTCAGGAAAAAGGTGACCATTTGAGGAACTGTGACCTAATTTTATTATATATAATGCCTCTGATTCTCATTTTATTTCCTTAATAACCAGCTGTAACTCTGTGGTTGTATTGTTGTTGTGTCTTTTCTGTTTTGTTTTGTTTTTTAAGTTTTAGCAGGCAGTTCCTTCTGTTCTAGGCTGCTCTACATAAAGCTATCAACAGAACAAACTAGATGGCATAGGATGTATTTCTAGAAAATTAACTGTCAATTGCTAGATTTGTATGATGCCACATTTTTAAGTATTCAGAGGCCATTTCCGAGGAAATTGAGAATTTCCTTGTTTTAAACAACCCTAGTGAAAAGGACCAGTATATATTTACAGAACCTGTTTTGGGTTCTGTCTGTTTTAAAAACCATCCTACATGGGGCATTTGTAGTCAAATAGGCAATGATAAAGACTTAACTGAAGTGTAATAAGTATCAAGTATTACTTTACATTTAAATACAGTATTTCACAACCTGTAGCATCTCATTTGATCCTCACAGTCACCACATGAGGTAGATAAGACAGATGATTTTATCCCATTTTAGGTAAGGAAACTGAAACTAAGCTGGGGAGGGAAAACGATTTACCCAAGAACACACAGCTGGTGAGTAGTTGCTGGGACCAGATCCTAGGTTGCCTCACTTCCTTAGTACTCCCCCATATTCCTCACTCAGCTATGAAAACATTACCTGAAAGAATGGCGAGGTTGACCAGAGACCTGATAGATATTGCAACTTTCTCTTTTAAGGAAGCATTCTCTCTGTGTTTCTTTGAGTTCTTTGGTGCCTCCATTCTGCTTGCATGTTGGGCATCCTGGCAGTGCTGTGTAATGCAGGCTGGCCTGGGGCAAGAAAGTAGTGCTCATGTCTGGAAGCCGTGTTCCTTTGCAGTCACACAGGACCCACATATCAGTCCTATTCCTGTAGTCAGCCTGGGGTTGCATTATTGGTGCCTTATTTCTCTGTAAGGGTAACTGTTTCTAGTATCTGCAAATAGGAAGAATCTATTTTTCAGAATTACCATCTTCTGTTTTTCAAAGAGAAGGACTTTCTGGCAGGAAGTGATCCCAAGAGAGGGGAAGAGAAATGTAGTTGCCCTACAAAAAAAAAATCACTTTTTGGGATCCCCTCTGAAGGGATGTCTGAGGTGGAGCTGAGGCACTGGAGAAGTGATGGGTATGGACAGACCAGAGCAATTCCTGGAGAGGAAAGATAAACTGGGGTCCCACTTGCTTTAAAGATACCTGGAATTTAATTCTCAACACTTGATTGCTGTTTTCCAAAGCAAATATAACACAAATAATCTGACTATAGGACAGAGAAATGTAAATGAAACGTCTTGACTGACATGCTGTAATTCATGCTGTTCTTTGGGCAGGGCTAAGGCCCTCTACTTCTGCAGGGGTAGATAAGAGCCCAGCAGTGGAGGTCCATGACAAATGACTTTTTCTCCGTGGTATAATGACTCATTTTTTTTATCTTGCTATTAAAAGGAGAAGGAGGGCTTTTGAACAACAATTTAATTATAGCATCAAAGGCCAGGAATGATGAAGAAATAACTTGGGAGTATCAGTTTCTGTTTCTTTTAAAACTCGATTTTACTGTCAGCCCCGTGGCTTGGGGGTTAAGGAGCTAGATCCCACATGGCTGACCATGGTTCAAATCCTAATCTGATGCCTTGGAAAACATGCTGGGCATGTATGCTTGACGGAGCTATGGAGGAGAAGGGATTGCAGCATGACAGTGCCTCATTAAGGGTGCTTTTTCCCTCTCTCTCTCTCTGTCTCTCTCTGGTGAATACATATGCCCTCTGACAAAAATAAAAAACAAAACAGATTTTAGTGGGTTTTTTTTGTTGTTGTTGTTGTTCTGTGGATTACGTTAGTGAAAGCACAATAAACTGCAGAACATTGTGCCAAGTGCTACAGGGAAGGGATACAAAGAAGAATGGTTTTGTTGTGCAGGTGTTTTTCATGTGGTATTTTATACCCGTTAAAAAATATCTCCATCTCTTAGCAATATAGGGAGGTTAGTTTTGCCTGGGAAGAAGAGTTTCCAAACACCTGGTCCTAATAGCATTTCTGTTCCAAAGAAACAATGCTGTGGTTGCTTTTTCCCTCTCTCTCTCAAGGTACTGTGTTAGGATAAAGTATCTAAGGTACTTAGTTCTCCATAGATTGCTGGGCATCAAGGAAGGAGGGACTGCAGATTATTCATAATAGCCTTCGATTATAGGCTGAGGAAGGGACTGGGTATACTTTAGCAAATCCAGGGTCCTCTGATCTCTAGCTCTAAAGCAGCATTATCTGAACCCCAAGTCTTACGACACTGTGCATCATTTCTTACCCAGTTTGTGTGGCAGGTATCTGTTATTAAAATGTACCTTTCACCAGGTAGGTGTCATCTGATAAGAAAGAACCCAAGGCATTTTATAATCACAGAAAATTGCAGCCCATACCCTTTATTACTGAATTTAGGTTTAGAAATAGACTATTTTAAACCAAAGTGATTTTTTATCTCAATCACTTATTGGGCCAGTTTTCCTAGTTTGGAGTTCTGGGAAAGAACCTTGAAAATCTTGCATGATTCTGCAGTGTGAGATTTGGGCAAAGCAGACTTTCACTGTATTTGGCATTTCCTGGAATTATTGAAATAAAAATTTGCTGTGAACAGTCTTCTGGCCAGTATCAGGCAGCACCACTTTTAATTTGGTTCATTTTATTTCCTCTGAGGCGGGAAAAGATGCATAATTTAATCTTTGCCTCCACAGGCATATTAAGAGTCATATGTTAATCCATTCTTATGCTCCCACATTAAATGCCTTGGGTAAATGGATAAATGTACATTTGCTCAGCTCTAATTGTTTTGCCACAGAAAGATTAGACTTCTGTTTGGCATTGTTGGATTTCACGGGCTCTCTGTTGTATCTCTAAATCTGAATGTTGCCTTTGATTTTTCTAGTCTGTATAACCGTGGAATTCACGCTGCAAATGGAATCAGGAAGCAGTACAGTGTGGAAGTAAGAGTGCTGTCTAATTCATTTGTCTTCCTGATCTTTGTACTTTTTATTTCACATTTCAGTGTTTACATGACATACTTACTGTATTTTCTGTGAAGGAAAAAAATTAAATAAATCTTGGCAGTTTTATTTTCCTTTTTTTTAAGGTAACGTTTTTCTTTTGATCTTAACTTTTAAATCTTATTGGAAATTGGAAATCGAAGGAACTCAACTCCTTCTATATCCCCACCTTCACCCCTGACTGTTCCACAAGCCAACTAGCCCAGAATGTTTATCCTGAAAACTTTAGAAAAAAGCCTTTGAGAAACTCAGAGAAGGTTCATTTAATTTTTACCTATGGAAAAAAACAAGCACTGTAAAGATTACTGAATGTTTGAACATTGTGCCGAAAGTGTTGCTGGATCCACCTTAAGTTTTGGATTGAGACTCTCTGGACTGTGGAAGTGTAATCTTCATAGAGATTCCAATCCAGTTATATCTGACATTTAAGTAATTTCCTTCTTTGTTGGGGGTTATCAGGAAAAATAAAAATTTTTTTGTAATTGAATGCCTATCATTCCTGTACTTTATACCTTGTCCCCAATGATTTCTAATAGCCACCTGGTTTTGTACCATTGATCATTATTTTTCTTCCCTTGCACCGAAAATGACCTTGACTTGGTTTGATTTACTTCCTCCACATTGTTTTAGGGAAGGATGCTTTTAGTAACATTATATTATAATATTATATTCTCCAGAAGGGAGAGGTCCACAGTCTTCATTTTCTTCCCTTGTCTACACTGTCATCTTCTCTGTTACTCTTATGTTTAGGGCCGAGTCTTCCTCTTCTAAAAAGACCCCTGTGATCACTTCCTTTTCTTAACCCTCTTGAGTACCTAGTATTTTACTCGTGGCATAGAACCTTAACATATAAACTTCATAAACCTATCACTCAAAATATTGTGGGCATATCTAGGGGCAAAGACACACTTCTGTGTATTTCTAGATATCATCATGGTTCCCTGATTATTTTGGTACATGTTTATTGAGAATGAAGAAAAATTTTAAAAGGGGTCCAGTGGTTGTGCAGTGGTAAAGCAAATAAACTCGCATAGAAAAGGTCCTGGTTTTGTGTTCTGGGACCTTCCTGAGCACACAGGTATGCAGGTATGCCCATGATCTGGGCTGGCTGAGACTGGGGGTGGACTGCAGCATGAAGACCCTGCTGGGAATGCCTACCCTTCCCCTCCTTTCTCTCTCATGGAAGAAATAAATCAACTTTTTAAAAGGGAAAGAAAGAAACTTGGAACTAATATATAGCTATTACTCTCAATTTGGCATAGTTCTAGGCCATAGAACACAGAGTGAGTCAGAAGTCCTGCAGTACTCAAAGGGCAGTTCGGAAGATGTGAAGGAGACACCCCGTGTGTAGTTTAGCAATTCTCCTCAAGTACGTGGACTTCTGCATAAAAGTAGATTCCTCAAGGTGGCTTCTGGAAAGAGAGAGGGCACTTTTACTGAATATTTCTATTATTACTTGACTTTGGAGAGTCAGATCTGGCCCATGAGATCTTCTAAATGAGTTTGGGTGTGAGAAGGTGCTCAGCTCCTGCCAGCTTCATGACTTACTAGAAAAAGGAAGTCTGATTGTGGTAGCACTTTGTCGTGATACATTCAGATTAATTAATATTAAAGAGCAAGTGATTATAGTAGAGAGTGTGTGCACTCACCAGAGGCAGAGACAAAGGGAGAAGAAAAAGCACCCCCATGGGGAGTGATCATGCTGCAATCCTTTCTCTCTCCTCTTCCCTCCTTTGGGATTTTGGGCATACATGTCCAGTGTTTTCCTTCGGTTGCCAGGTCTGGGACCACAGAGCTGCCCCAGCAAGTGACACTTTAAAGCTGAAAGCTGCTTTGGCTCTCTTCAGCTGTGGAATTCAGCATAGACCTGACATTTAAACAAATAATAACCAACAAGTTCGATAAATAAAATGAGAGAAATTTAGATTAGGGACATGATTATGGAATTTTAGTGAAAAAGACAGAATTTCCTATTATTAGCTCCACAGAATAAATAGCTTATGCTTAACAACTGGATTTAAATACCATTTTATCTGATTATGAGCTTTTTTATAGGGTTTTTCTTTTTTTTTGCAGTAGGATATGTGTGCTCGCTGGAGAGAGAGAGAGAGAGAGAGAGAGAGAGAGAGAGAGAGAGAGAGAAAGAACGAAGAAATCACTCCCCAAGGTAGTATGGCCATGCTGTAGTCCCTTCTCTTTCATTTTCTTCCTGGGATTTTAGCTACATACACATGCACTCGACTTGGTTTTCAAGCTGCCAGGCCTGGTACTCAAACTGAGGTCCACCATCTTAAACACCATGCCGCTTACTGGCTCCTGATTATGAGATTTCCAAACTTTTTTTTTTTTTTTTTGGAGAGGTTTTTGCCATAGGGCGCATGCACTCACCAGAAAGACATAGAGAGACAGAGGGACAGAAAATGAGAAATCACCCCCCAGGGGGGATGGCCATGCTACAATTCCTTCTCCTCTAATCTCCTCTTGAGATTTTGGGCACGCACACACGCACATGTGCCCAATGTGAGTTTAAGTCGCCAGGTCCGGGACTCAAACCACGGTTGCCTACATGGGAGTCCAGCGACATAGCCATTACGTTAACTGCTGGTCCCAGACTTCTAAACAAATTTTAACTGAATGTTCAAGTATCTTCATAAAATACTTCAAGGTAGGTGGTGCAGCAGTAAAATGCAACACTGTGGGGCAATGCTACACAGAAAGTTTCTCTGTTCAAGTCTGGAGACCTCCGTGAGTTCACTGAACACCTTTGCTCATGACTTGGGGCTAGCTGAAGCTGGCCCATCTATCACAGTGTTGAGACCCTGTTAGAGATATATACATTCTCTTTCTTCCTCCCTCTCTCTATCTTGAGACGAGTAGACTTTTAAGTATTTTTTTTAGTGGTTTTTGCCTTAAGGCGTGTGTGCTTGCTGGAGAGACAGAGGTAGTGAGAGGGAAAGTGAGAAATCACTCAGGGGAGGTGGCCACACCACAATCCTTTTTCCATTCTTCTGGGATTTTGGGCACACATGCAAATGTGTCCAATGTGAGTTTCAAGCCACCAGGTACAGGATACAAACCAGAGTCAGCCATATGGGAGTCCAGCAACATAACTGCTACGCCATTTGCTGGCCCCTTAAAAGAAATATTTTAAAAATGGGTCATCAGGAAAGTTGACACATTTTTGCATAAAAATACAGAAAAATACTGGGACCAGCAGTTGGTGTAATGGTTATGTTGCTGGACTCCCACGTAGTCAATCACAGTTCGAGTCCCAGACCCATGGCTTAAAACTCACACAGGGTACATGTGCATGCATGCCCAAAATCCTGAGAGGAGAACAGAGGAGAAGGGATTGTGGTGTGATCACACACACCCCGGGGGGGGGCGGCGATTTCTTGCTTTCTGTCTCTCTGTCTCTCTGGCGAGCACACACACCCTATAACAAAAATCTCTCTAGAAAAAAAAAATGAAGAAAAACAGAAAAATATGTCATGACTTTCCTGATGACCTAATAGATATTTCAAGGTAGTAGGGTTTTTTTTTTTTTTGGTTTGTTTTTTTGTTTTTGCTTTTTACTTATTGGACTTGTTTTGTTATTAC